TCGAGTCGCCTGCGACTCATAGCGACCCTATGTACAACAGCCCTAAACTCCGCTCTGTCCTGCGCCAATCGCACTGTCTCTGATACTCCCATCCATAGTCTTCACAATTACTTGCTTTGCCTCAGAAAGCTGGACAATGACTGAGAGATGAATTGGTGTCTTTGAGTTGTGGTGCAGGAAAAGAGTATTAAACATACCACGGAGCACCAAGAGAACAGATCTGTCTTAGGGTGAAACCAAGTTGTTCCTTGAAGGCATTTTGAAGCTCTGTCTCACATACTTTGGGCATGTGGCCAGAAAGGATCAGATTAGTTCTGGGAGAAGGACATCATGCTTGGAAGGATGTAGGTGTAGAGCAGGAGGGGAAGACCCTGGTTGAGATGAATTGACACAGTAAATGAGGTAGGTGTGTCAGAGTCAATGAGTCTGGCTCAGGATAGCGCAGGGTTCAGAGCTGTTGTACAAAGGGTTGCAGGCAACTCCATGGCACATGGCTGCATGTTACTTAGGCCAGCCCCGCTTCCAGCCTTAGGGCTTACATGTCTTCCAGTCAGCTTTTTTTTTTTTACATCTGTAATATGTTGGCCCATGGTGCTAAGTAAGTGGCTTTGTGCCTCGCCTTTAGGAGAGGAGGGGTGACTCAGGCTTTCAGACCACAAGTAAAGCTTACAGTATTTAAATCAAAGCCTGCTGGATGAAGGTCAAAGAGCTGAGAAAGGAACCTTTTTAGGAAGAGGGAATAGGCAGTGCAAAGGCTCCGAGGCAGGATGAACATGGAGCATTTGAGGAAGTGTTTGATATGTTAACAGGTCTAAAAGGGCAGATCTAAATGTAAAATTCCCAGGTAGGCCTTCTGAGGTGTTAAAAAAGGGAGTAATTTGTTCTTTCAGAACCTGTCCAGCTGTGATGAATTTAAACTGATTTATCCTTCTCCTTTGGAGCCTTGGTGGTTACACATTAACTGAAAGATGGGCAGCTAAAATTCACCAGCCACTGGCAGAAAAAAAGATAAGGCAGTTTGCGTCTATTAACAGCCTTGAATTAGAATCAACTCTAGGACAGTGAGTTTGGTTTTTGGTTTATCCCCTCCATAGGCCTCAGATTTGCAACGGTGATATGAGAACATTTCCAGTAGTGCTAGGCACTCCTCTTGAAGCAGGTGCTATTATCAATTTCTTTTCTGAAAATGAAATAAAGATCTAGAAAGACTGAATCATTTTCATAAGGCCAGGAAGCTAAAAAGTGCACTTCTATCACCTATTATGTTTAACCTCCATTGTAACTGATGTCCTATAGCCCTATCAGGCACAGTAAGCCAGTAACAATCAACGCCAGGTTTGACATTAAATCCTGCTATGTCACTTGCAAGCAGTAGGAACGTTCTACTTTAGTCCAATGGCCATATCGACTTTGGCCCCAATCAATAGAACACATGGTTACCTAAGAGGACCGCATGTATGAATCCTCAACAAATAAACGCAACAAATGCTTTCTGTCTGACATAGACTTTTCGTTGCAAGGAAGGTTTGGGAGCCAAGGGACGTAAGCCCTACCACCTTCCAGCACTATTTCCTCCATTCAGTCAGGGAGCAATTCGCTATCTTCTCCTGCCCCAGCTAAGCACCCCTCAAAGATACAGAAAACTTTTTTCTGGACTAAAAAGGTCGTGGTCCCTTTAAGGCCCGCCCCTCCCTCCCCCAAAACTTCCCTGTGTCTGCTCCCTTTTCGATCTGGGACGGCCGGCCGGGCTCGCCGCCGAGCTGGTAGGGACTTTGGGCGAGAGGTCGTGGAGGGACTCAGGGGGGGATCTGTGGGAGGCGCGGCCCGT